ACCCAATTACTGTGCATTTTCCAGCAGGGTACTTGCCAAAGTACCACTTAGGTACCTGTAAGTACCTGCAAGTACTTTGGTACCCAAAAGTTCCTGTGACATACTGGTATCAGGGTACATTTTTGGGTACCCTTAACTCAGTATATTCTCTAGGGTATGTATCTTCGTATATATAATGTTGACTATACTCGTTCTCGAGGTATATATCTATTGTGTTTAGTATTTTCGCTGTCGAGGTATATATAGAGAGAAAATATCGCCTGTTCGTTCACTTATTTTCGCGCATATATAAGCTCTTGTATTATCCGTCTTTTTTCATATCCACTTTTTGAAGAAACACTTGTAAATTCTTCATCGCCATACAATTCATTTCAAGTTGTTTAATCCATCATTAATCGTCAAATGGTAGTAATTACTCGTGCTGCAGCAAAACGACAACAACAATCATCTAATGCAGATAGTATTGTTTTACATCGTAATATAATTAAAAAAAAACGGAAGAAACAAGTAGCTGGTCAACATGCATCATCATGTATTAGTTCATCATCACCATTACAATCAAATGCAATAACATCAACATCATGTACTTTTACATTATCAGCATTTAATACACCAAATTCAAATGAATGTTTAATTAACACACCAATAACAACAACAGCATCTTCATCAAGATTTGAATTATGTGATCATCAAAATCAAAATGATGTTATTGGTATTAATGATAGCAATCAATTCATTAGTTTACCATCAATGGAATTAAATCAAACGGATAATAATCAACAAGATCAAATACATGATGTTGAAGATAATGATGAATCAGATACAAAAACATCATGGCCAATTATCGTTGGTGAAATTCAATGGTGTAAAACAAATCGTGGAAATGATCGCATGTGTATGTGTGGATATACTTATGATTTTATGTCACAAACATTAAAAAAAAATATTCGTTATTTTCGTTGTTCCAAAAAAAATATCGGTTGTAATGCTGTTGTTCGAATATGTATTGATTCCAACATGTATAAAGATTCAAATAATGTTGAACACAATCATCCACCAGATCATCATAATGTTAAACGTTTATTAGTATTACAGAAAATCAAAGAAAGAGTAATGGTGGAACCAACTTCTGTTACTCGTATTATAGAAGATGAATATGTAAAACATCATTTGAACGATGGTGATCGAGAAAAATTTTTATTACCAGCATCACAAGGTAAGCGATGCAGACATAATTAACATTAATATAAAATATATGTCTTTAAGAAGTTAAATGTATATATTTTTTTTTTGTATTTTTAGCTTCAAAGTTTTACAAAATTCGTGCAAAAATGGTACCATCTAATCCCAAATCAATGAATTTTAAAGTTCCACAATTGTATTCAACAACCCACGATGATGATGAATTTTTAATTTATGATTCCATACATAAAAAAATTGGTGGTAGATTAATGATATTTTCTACTGAAGTATTAATTAAAATATTATGTAGTTGTGAAATTATATTTGTTGATGGCACGTTTAAAACACGTCCTATTATGTTCTCTCAAGTTTATGTGATAATGGGAATGCATCTAGCAGAAGGTATATATATACTTTTTTTTGTATTTAGTCATCTTCAATTACTTAAAGCTTTTTTATTTAGCTATTCCTTTGGTATGGTGTCTTACACCAAAACGAGAGGAAGAAGTTTATGAAAAAATTTTCAAAGTTTTAAAAAGAAAATCAATTGAATATGGTGTTAAACTTGAACCGAAATATGCTTATGCAGATTTTGAAAGTGGTACCATCAATGCGTTGGAAAAAGTAGTAAGTTATTCATTTCTTGAGGAAAAATTGACATATAGGCAAGCAATTCACTATGCATGACATCATTAAAATCTTTTTTTTTAGTTTCCTGATATTATTGTTCGTGGTTGTTGGTATCACTTTACTCAGTCGGTCTTTCGAAATATTCAAAAAATGGGATTATCAACTGTATATGAAAAAAACAAAGAAGTGAACATATGGTTGAAGAGTTTCATGGCATTACCATTAATAAAGAATGATATACTTGATGCTGCCGTTGAATTATTAATTAAAAACGTACCATCTTCTGATAAATCATTAATTGATTTTTATGAATATTTTCAACGTCAATGGTTTACACGTAAACCACCGAGATATTGGAGTTTAGGTCCAATACATATTCGATGCAACAATAGTCTAGAAGGTACAATATGTTTTTAGGATGCAATTATAATCAAAATATTATATGATGTTTTATTGTAATTTTAGGTTATAATAATCGACTCAAATATCGTTTTGGCATTCATCCACAACTATGGCCATTTATTCATTTCCTGAAGGCTGAAGAATCATTGGTAATGATGCGAGCAACACAGATAAGAAATGGTATTTATCGTTATAAAACAATGCCATTCTCGGCTAACAATGAACGTTTAAGAAAAAAAACAAAACAACTTAAAAATTTATCCCGGTTATTTCAACTTGGTTCAATAAGTTTAAATCGATATATAACAAATTTATCGACATTTGTTGGTGAAGCAGCAAAAAAAAAGAAAAAAAACAATAATGATATTCATCATGCTACTATTGATGATAGTCGTATTGATGATGATAACATTTAGTTCAAATTGTTTTTTTTTACTATTTATTAGGATTTTCTTTGACCAATTCGTTGATGTTGTTTTCTTTCACAAATGTGGATTTTGATTAATTTTTTTTCTCCACTTGTTGTTGTTCATTTACTTGTAATAATTATTTTCTGGTACATTGTTTATCTATATCTATTTTGTTTTTCTCGTTTGTCGCTTATACTGATTAAAAAATAAATAAACTTATAATTAATTTAATATATAACATCTGGTTAATACAAATACTTATTTCCTTTTTGTTAACTTTATGATCAAGAAAATTATATTTTTCCAATACATTGTAGCTTCAATCGATATATATTTTGTCGTATTTCCGATGGAAAATCGACAATAAAAAAGTACATTAATAATAATTATTGTCAGAATTCCTAAGGAATTTCGACAATAATGGGAAATTCGGCAGTATTGTCGATTTTCAGTGGAATTTCGAACAGTTTGAAATTCCACTGGAAGATCGACATTGGCGAAATTCCGTTGGCGAAATTCTTATTGGCGAAATTCCAGAGAACC